CCTTTTGTTATTAGGGGTTTTGCTGTCCCATCTTTAAAGTCCCAGCTAGTGACCCTCAGCTGGTTGCAGGATTTTAACATTCTGAAGTGCAGTGGAGGTGGCTGGAAATATGGCGTGTCAGGGCGGTCATTGAGAAATTTCATCAAAGCCATTCTGAAAAAAAGCAACACAAAAATACTAAGAGCTTAATAGATTTCTGTTATAGCCAAGGGTCATATAATATGGTAACACCTGTAGCTTTTGTGCCATCTCTTTGCTTTCTGGTGTCAAACAAAACTCATAAATACCTTTCTGAGGTTCCCGCTTAAAAATGACAGGCCCAAAAAACAGGCCTGTCTAAAAGTATTTTTTTGACCCAGACTGAAAGAATATGTATTTACATTTCAAAACCTAGTTCTAAACATTTGTTGATAAGACACTGCTGTGAAATGTTGGTACAAAGGTTTAGCCTTTTCATACCTCAATCTTTGTATATGTTGTGATGTGCAGCCGTGGCCCAAATTAAAGCTTTGAATTGCTGCCTCCCTCCAGAGGCAGACTGGCATGGTATGACCATCCTGAAATTACAAACATGGTAGAATTAAAAATGTATTAATTAAATAATCAAAAATCTAGTAACTAGAAAACGAAAGCTCACAGCCTTGTACAATCAGCACTACCGTACATATATCTACTGTACCAGCAATGTCAAATTTGTTGCATTAGTTTAACCAGTTTCAATATAAAACTGAAATTGCATCATTACCTCCTTACATTACCTCTCCTTCAGCTGAGATATCTTAAGATAATGTGCTGTTTTACTGACAGTACGTCCTTTACTGCAGAAAACTGAAAAGTAAATTGAAATAAAATGTCAGTAGTAGTTAGTGTATTGATATGTAATAGGTTTTTATTTCTAAAGTAACGTGTTTAGATTATGTTATTGCTGTTAAGTATTCTGCACTGAACTTATCAGAAGCAGTGTATTAGGATGTTTTTCATATACAGTGATTATGAATCAAGGAAATCTTTCTACTATCTTCTAGTCTCTGCTTGGCAGCAAAAATCTAAATTATTTTTAACTGTAAAAAATACCCATAATAATGGGTTATTTGGAAACCTAAAGCCATGTAAATTCTGATGGAACCACAAATACTTACCTCCACCACCT